GGTGGAGAGCCTCCGGGCATTTGGTGTGGATGCACGAGCCGGAACGTATGTATCCAGGCTAGAGAATGCATTATTATCTTTGACGACCTGTATTGAAAACCTGAGCATTGAAATCGTGGCACTGAAGGTTGGCCAAAAAGCCGAAATTTCAGCCCTCCACGCCGAAATTGAAGTTCTGAAGAGAGAAATTGGCAGTTCGGAATTCAAAAAGGTTACACCCGCACCTGACGCACCCGTACTTAGCGTACCCGTAGCAGAAGTCTCTCCTGAGCTGGATGCAGCAGCACAGGCACGGAATACGCACTCTGGAGTCAACCCGTACTCGTACAGTGCAAAAGTAGTATCTGCACGTCCTAAAGCTCACTTCCCATCGCATTCCCCCATGACACAGTCAGCTACCTCCAATACGGGGACACATACTGATCAAGCCCTCCGGACAAACGTCATTTCATACTACCAGCGCCCACCCCGCAAACATGAGCAACTGCGCAGGGCCCATCGTACCAAATGCAAAGCTGTTCATGTTGGAAGAATTCACCCTGGTTGCTCTGCTTCCTCCATCGCAAAATGGTGCGAAAACAAGCAAGTGACTGTACTGAAATGCTCCGTCTCTGAGACAAAGTACTTTGGCCTAGCGTACGCGCACGTAGTCGTCACAGAAGATGACTGGGAAGCTGTGCAAAACACTGACTTTTGGCCTGACGGAGTGACAGCTCGAGAATGGCGATTCAAGGCTGACAGAATAAGTACAGCTGACAACACAACCGTCGATCAGTCTGCACAATAATGAACCTCAACCCCCCGATACTTCCTCACTGTTCCCCAAAAATTACTACTTACAGCACACTTAATCCATTGGCTCAGCCTTTTTACCCACTTTCGCAGCCAACCGCAGGATCACAGCCTATAATGTGCATCAATGCCAGGTCCATTAAGAACAAGACTGCCGAGCTGGCTCACATTTGTTCCACAGTTAAACTCCTCATTGTTTGCATAACGGAAACATGGCTCTCTCCACAGTCGTCTTTCACGGTCCCTGGATATGACTGTTTTCGCCGAGATCGTCCGCCAGATGAAAACAGGTCAGCTACCGATGCCACCCATGCATATGGCGGCGTCTGTATCATAGTACGGTCTGGGATGCTTCCAAAGGTCACCCATCGATCTGACCTCAGTATCCCTCTCCTGGAAGCCACATGGGTGGAAATAGCCCTGTCATCTGCTAACATACATTTCCCAGAGGCGCCTCATGTGAAGAAGTTGGTTATTGGTGCAGTATATCGACCCCCAGCACCTTCTGCAATTCCCTCCAGCACTGTCTAAGCACTCTTAAGAACCGAACAACATCTATCATGTTGATGGGAGACTTTAATGCTAAGTCATGTCATTGGCATGGAACTACCACTGATGCCGCTGGTCGCCAGCTTCACAGTCTTTTCGGCATGTTCTCTCTCACGCAGCTCGTAAATTTTCCAACACATGAGTCATTGTCTGGCATGGGGGCAGCTCTCGACCTAGTTGTCACTGATATACCGGACTCTATATCCTGCCTCCGTGCTACAGCACCACTTGGTCAATCCGATCATTCTATCGTGGTTGGCCACATCCGTACTGTACCCTGCCAAGAAATGCCCACATATCGTTCTCGTGATGCTCGTTCGACTCCCCTGGATGTCCCTGATTTTAGTGTATTTTCTTTGGATTCTCTAGACAGCAACACTGTCGCGAGTATGAATGCTGCCATGTCCCACATTCATTGGCCAGCAGCTTTGAGCCTGGAGAGGCGCGATCCTGACATATCTGTGGACAAATTTTACTCTATCTTCCATAACATCTGTGCAAGATTTCTGCCCAGGCGGAAGCCGCCGGCTGTCAAGCGTTTCCATATGAACCCCCCCTGGCTGACCAGTACCCTCCGACATCAAATAAAGGAAAAACGAGATTCGTATAGTGTTTACCGAAAGTTTCCCTCCGCTGACAACTTCGCTATTTACAGACGAGAGCGAAACGTTACTCGCAATATGTCTCGAACTGCCCATCGACTGCACATCTCATCCCTAAGTGCATCCACGGCAAGACCCGCATCACCAAGTTTATTCCAGTTTGTCCGGAAGCTTCGATCTCCCCAAGGCAACAGCAGAACGACTGTAACTCAGCTCTCAGTCGCTGGTACTCTATATTCTGACCCTGTGGATGTGGCAGATGCTTTGAACGAACAGTTTATTGGTTTTGGAACACAAGATGATCCTTCATGGAATGTGCCAGACTTCAAGCCACCCGACGCCCCATCACGTGGAAGAACTACACCTACGTTGCAAGATGTCACTACCACGCCTTTTGCTGTGGCAAAGCAAATCCGCAACCTTAAGACCCGAAAGGCTGCGGGAGCGGACGGTATTTCTCATGAACTCCTGAAACTATTTTGTTCCAGTATTGCATACCCTATCAGCCTCATCTTTAACCTCACTTTTGCAACTGGTGCTTTCCCTGCTATTTGGAAACACGCAATTGTAACTCCGGTCTTTAAGAACAAGGGAAGTCAGCTCGATGCATCGAATTACCGCCCGATTTCGTTATTTTCAACAATCTCCAAGCTGTGTGAACGTTTTATGTACAACCACTTATACACTTACCTGTCTCCTGTTCTACATCCGTCCCAGTCTGGATTCCGAAAAGGCGACTCTACGTCCTCGCAGCTTCTCAGACTTGTTCAATCGATGTCTTCTGTTCGTGAGAACGGCCATTACAGCATGCTATGTTTCTTTGATCTAAGCAAGGCCTTCGACACAGTATGGACACGCGGGCTCCTATACAAGCTGTCACGCCATGGAATCCATGGTACTTGCTTCACGTGGCTCAGTACTTACCTGACGGGCAGACAGCAAAGGGTGCGTGTCGGCTCTGCTCTGTCTGCCAAAGGGCATGTACGGTCTGGAGTTCCTCAGGGATCAATCCTGGGGCCTCTCCTCTTTCTTATATATGTAAACGATCTGGCAGAAATGGAACACACATCACTATTATTATGCTGATGATACAGCACTACTTGTGACAGCACCCACTCTCCCCGAGGCTAGTGCCAAGTTACAGTCCAACATAGATGGCGTTATTCATTGGATGGAAAAATGGAAATTGCAGCCCAACTCTTCGAAAACTGCTGTAATGTGTATCCTCCCCAGTTGTTCCTGTGACCTATCTTCATAAGTAACCAGTCCCTTCACCTTTCCAGGCACCACAACCCCGCTCTGCATCGTTGAAAAACACAAGCATCTTGGCGTCATTATTGACCAACACTTAACCTGGAAATCCCAGATCGAAAATTTAGACAGCCGTGTTAGCTCAGTAATGGGATTTCTCTCGTCACACATCACCCACCTCCACACCGACTGTCGCCATGTTATCTACACATCTTACATTCTGCCTATTTTTGATTACTGCTGCATAATTTGGGCTGGCATTTCTAAAACACTGATTGCTCGACTCGAAGTTATGCATAGGCGTCTTTTGAAAATATTATTTCGGCTTCCTCGCCTGACTCCAAGCGCAGACTTATACCGCCTTGCTTCTGCTGTGCCGCTCTCGGTCCGCGTGCGTTTTTTGGCATGCCAGACAATTCATAAAATTAAGCTGTGCATTGCTCCTCTTCATGCTCTCTCCTGATAAGCTGGTTTGCTCAATCTCAAGACATGCGCACCAGAAACTCTCTCCGCTTCCCTATTGCGCGGTCTGCCTCTATGCAAACATCTCCTCTCTTCCTTGCTTACCGCCATTGGTCTCTCCTCCCACAACATCTAAAATCCTGCCAATGTTACAATACATTCACACAGCTACTGCAGAATGCAACATACTAGTTGATATCCAGCCCTGCCCTAGCTTCTCCTGCTTTTCAGTTCCCCTTTCATTCTTTTTCTTTCTCCCCTCTAGCTCTATTACCGCCATGGCTGGCTATCGCCCACATCACCATTTCATTGGCTAGTGCCACGTGATTGTGAATAAATAAATAAATAAATAAATAATAAAGCTTACGGCATGCCTGACACTCTCCCAACAACAGTCGCCACCCACCCTCGTTGACGGTTGCATCTGGCGTCATGGTGTCCTTGTATCTATTCACTCTGACCAATCACAATCACATGTCTTCCAACATCTATGCAAGCTCCTGGACATACACAAGACTCGGACAATGCCATAACACCCGCAATCTGATGGTCTTATTGAACGCTCCAACACGGAACCGTACATTGCAGAATATGCTGTCCACATGTGTGGACAAACATGCGGACTGGGATCTCCATCCATAACGAGTATTAGACGAGAGAGGGATCTGACTCACAGAGATAATAACGAATAATCTTTACTTCAGGATGAGACACTAGTAAAGCAACTGAACTACACGAGAGGAATAACTGCAAGCTGTAACTGACTGAAACAACGAAAAGAACACAACTCGGTGTAGTCTCCAGTCCAAACAACAAGACGCCGACTCAACTAATTATGCACAGAAACTACAAGCCGCGAAGTCGGTTTCACGCGCGCGCGCGGGAAACGGCACATGCGACATGCATAACAACACAACACGATGCACTACTAGTATACTGCTACTACATACATCATGAATAGCATGAAAGAACAGCCAGGAATAATTATTATGATTAGACTGGTCCATACAGGAACAATAAATGTATCACCTCTACGCGTGCACACAGCATAACTGACACCAAAGAAGGGCACGTTGATTCGGGCATGCATTGGAATTACCATGAACGTATTGACACCCAAAGGCTAGCGGCAGTGATTTGCCATAACACCATACTTAGACTACTGAAAGAGGTTCACCTTCTACTCATTCCACCCTCCTTGATACGACTACCGGTAAGTATCAACGTTGATACAACAAAATATGAACTATCAGAAAAGAAAACGAAACGTAACGAGCTATAATCTAGCTGTACAGAAACATAAATGGCTGCAGAACTGGACGACTGTTGTACTGTTAGGGCAATTCAATCCATAGTGTCGTCCATAAAAGTCGACTTCAACACCGCCTCCGCAGTACGTGGGACATCTTCTTTTAGCTGCTCAGCAGGCTTCTGAGACACCATTTGTGCTAGGAATGGGGACGAATTCACGCCAAACACCACCCGTTGGTACTGGTAGGCGACTGGCTCCTTTGACGCATCCAAGTCCCGCCACAGAAAACGATGAAATTTCTGATCATCTTCAGACAGCTCGATCTGGAGGTACATCTCTGCTACATCGGCCACGATAGCAACTGGCTTTGCCCTGAATCGCAGCAATATGTGCGGTAGCTCTCTCTGCAGCTTCGGTCCGGGGTGGAGGTAGTCGTTCAGGCTTGCTCCTTTGCATTTGGCTGATGCGTCAAAGACCACCATCACTTTAGTTGTTGTTGCATCTGGTCTGGTGACTGGAAAGTGCGGGAGGTACCAACCACCTGTTGACTCGAGCTTTACTGCAGTCACGTATCCAGCGGTCACATGATGCTGCAGTACACGGCAGTACTCCTTTGCTACTTCTGGTTCCTTGTGGAGGCGTTTCTCCGTCGAGCGCAGTCTCTTCAGTGCCATCTCGTAGCTACCGTTCTCCTCTGGCGGGCTTCTCTTCCAAGGCAGCTTGACGGTGTACCTGCCGTTGCAGTACTTTGTTGCTGCCTCTGCATCTGCAAGAGTTTGTCGGTCATTTGCTGCATGCGGGCTCTGTCGGCGAGGCTCTTCCACCTCCCACATACGCCGGACCAGCATCTCCAGATTACCGTCATCGACTCTGCTGAAGTGAGTGCGGTGATGATCTGAGCTTTCACTCACAGGTCCAACGCAGGTCCAACCTAGCGCGGTTCTCCTCGCCACCGGTTCTCCCTGATCACCCCTCACCTCCTCCAGAGAGTAGTGAAGCTCGGCATGATCCAGGCCAATCAGCATATCAATCTGGCGAGTTGCTGGCTGTTCGAAGGGTATGTCCAGCAGATGATGGTACTGACTTGACTCGACGGTCCAATCGTACGGTTTCAGTGTGCCTGTGACGTGACTAGTTGTGATGGCTGAGAACGGACTGATGAACTTGCCATCTACACTCTCTACCAGCAGATCCACTGGCATTGACTCGAAAGACTCCACTGCTCCGTTGAGGGTGCTGATCGAAACCCGTTTCATGGGTCCCTGCAAGTTGAGCTGGTCCGCTACCTCTGTGTTCACATAACTTTGGGTGCTCCCATCATCCAACAGCGCATTCACCCTGAGGTTGCGGTCACCGTTTCGTAAAACGACCGGCAAGGTTCTCAGTGACAACGGTCTGGCGCCTGCTCCGATGTTAGCAGTGGTTGTAGTTCTGGCTGTCTCACTGGTGCGACCCCTTTCCGTGCCATTGCTGGCTCTAGACGTGTCAATGGCTACTGCCCTGTGAAGTAGATAGTTGTGGGTATCGCTGCACTTGTCTACGCCACACTTTCTCTTCCGCTGGCAGTCAGCACCTCGGTGGCCCTTGCCCAGACAGCGATAGCAGAGCCGATGTGTTTTCGCCACTTTCCAACGCTTGTCCACATCCATTTCCTTGAAATCTTTGCATGTCCACACTTGATGGTCCTGGGAGCATACTGGACACGCTGCCGGTGTCGGATTGGGTGACTCTGCTGCATGGAATGAGTGGCCTCGGGCTGCTGGGCGCTCTCGGCCATGTCTATGGCGACCAGGTGCTAGGCCTGCGATGGCTTCATTGGCGGTAATGTGAAAGTCGGCCTCGAGATTGACCCACTCGAGCAACGCCTCCACCCCTTCTGGGCGCTGATGCTCATAGAGCCACCTATGGTATCTTGTCAGCAGGTCTTCTGGCAGCTTCTGCTGGATTCGCGCGTACAGAGTGCCCACCTCTAGCTCCGATTGGCGACCCGCTGCTTTCAAGTTGGTCACGGCTACTTCCAACAAATCTGAGAACTGTTCCAGATCTTGTGCGTTGACTCGATCTCCGTGTAATGGCTTGAATCGTTCCAGTTCATCTAAGTACACCATCACTTGGCGCCGCGTACCTCCGAATTTCCGTTCCAGGCGTTCCATTGCCTTGTGGTATGAGTCCGGGGCGTACCCTAGCCGCTCGATGCATCTTAGCGCTTCTCCCGCTACATACTGTCGTAGCTGCAACAGCTTCAGGGTTGGGCTGATTGGCGCACTGTCCACGCACGCCAGGAACGTGGCCTTCCATAACTCATAGGCACGCTTATCCCCATCAAACACGGGTATTGAAATGCTTCTCATTTTGCTGAAGACGTCTGTGGCTCCAGCTGGTGGTGCAGCAAAACTAGATGGTCTCGATGGAGTTGGTACTGGTAGATCATTGTAGCTGCCGCCATGGCCATGTGCCACACTCTGTGTAGGCCTGAAACTGGCTCTAGGTACAAATGGGACGGCGGCCACAGACTGGTGTAATGTATGGGCTGGTCTCTGGCTACTTCCACTCATGACTGCTGTGTGTACCCTGCTGGAGTGAACAGGGGCTGATTGCCTGGGCAGTACATTGCTATTGGTTGCTTGTACAGCTACAGGTGCGCTGGTGTTGCTGGCCTGACTCAGTGGCACTGTGGGGCCTGCTGCTGCTGCTGCTGGCGCACTGCTACTTGTGCGGGAACTGATGCTATGGCTACTACTGGTACTAGAACTGGAGTGGTGACTGCTCCCTGCACTCACACTGACTGGTGGAGTAGAGCTGGAGCTTGTGGGTGCACCTACAGACGAAGAAAGTGAGGTGATTGCGCTTTTACTTGAGACACTGGCACTGACAGGCCTGTTGGTGCTGAATGTGTTGCTTGCTGCAAATGTGTCTGTGTTGCTTGTGACAGGAGTGAAGTCCGCACTGACGCCACCAGGCGCGGAAGACGGTCTAGCGGACTGTGCAGAACTCGCAGACTGAGCAGTTCCTGACACCCCACCTAATGGGTCGTGAGCAGCGTTGAAGCTTGATGGCATAACAGGGTGGTACTGACTGAACCCTGCGGAATGACGCGCACGAATATGTTGTTGCTCCTCGTACATCTCCACCTGCTGCTCCAGGTGCGCCATTGCTTCTGCCACTTCCTCCAGCTCCGTTATTGCTGCGTCGACTGCTTTGCCTTTTTTCTCGGCTTGAAAACACGTCACCAGTGACTCCAACACCTGATTCACCTCGTTGGCGAACCATTGCACTGCCTCGAATTCGTCTCTCACGGCATCCAAACTCAACTTCTCGTCACGGATCTGCAAAATCAAGCCTCGTCGCCGCGACGTCAAGCGCCGTTTCATTTGAATTTTTGCCACTCTCATGTCTGCAGATGCCGAGGTCACAGCATCGTTGACTTGCTCTTCCTGGCCGTCCGTATTACCAGGCTCAACATAATCGCCAGGCTCAACATAATCGCCAGGCTCAACATAATCGCCAGGCTCAACATCATGGCCAGGCCCAACATCATCGCCTACCGTGACCCTGTTCCGCTCGTGACTGATATCGTCGCTGTGTTCAGACATCTCGCTCCGATGGACTTCCGACTAGGTGAAGATAACCATCCTCTGCTACCATTAGACGAGAGAGGGATCTGACTCACAGAGATAATAACGAATAATCTTTACTTCAGGATGAGACACTAGTAAAGCAACTGAACTACACGAGAGGAATAACTGCAAGCTGTAACTGACTGAAACAACGAAAAGAACACAACTCGGTGTAGTCTCCAGTCCAAACAACAAGACGCCGACTCAACTAATTATGCACAGAAACTACAAGCCGCGAAGTCGGTTTCACGCGCGCGCGCGGGAAACGGCACATGCGACATGCATAACAACACAACACGATGCACTACTAGTATACTGCTACTACATACATCATGAATAGCATGAAAGAACAGCCAGGAATAATTATTATGATTAGACTGGTCCATACAGGAACAATAAATGTATCACCTCTACGCGTGCACACAGCATAACTGACACCAAAGAAGGGCACGTTGATTCGGGCATGCATTGGAATTACCATGAACGTATTGACACCCAAAGGCTAGCGGCAGTGATTTGCCATAACACCATACTTAGACTACTGAAAGAGGTTCACCTTC